GAGAGGTAAAGGCTACTGGGGGGTCGCCCGCGTGGGTTAACCCAGGTCAAGCCGAAATCCTTAGTAGATAGTTCTACCCCTTACAAAAAGGCGCCTTTTTGTAAGGGGTAGAAATCGCTACGGATCTCATCTCTCCACTTGAAGGATTCCGTGCCTAGTGGGTACCTCCTCCATAGGAAGTGTTCACTTATATGGCAGGGGGGAAGACGACTCTCTTCCGATGTGGGATTGCCTTAGGAAAGGGTCCTATTGGCGAAGAGAGGTAAAGGCTACTGGGGCTCGGTGCCGCCAGGTCAGCCGGAATCTTTCAAGTGGAGGGATGAGATCCGTAACAATTTCTACCCCTTACAGTTTAATTTATTTTTTTCTCACTTTAGTAATTGTCCAACATTTGATTTCGTCAATTCATCAATCGCCAGAATGTGGGTCTTAATGCCGTGAAACAATAGGCAAACGCCCAGGGGAAAAAATTCAGGTCTTAGATCAAACAGAGATGAAGTAATTTTCAGAAGAATGTAGTGCATTGTCCAAATAAAACTACTCGACCATTATCACCCAAAATTGAGTCATCTCATCTGGATAGGAAACTAGCTACAGTAATCAAGGGCAGAGCTAGGATTTTTGTTTATCCCGGGTTAAGCTAAGCATGCATACGACTAACAAAATATAAATAATTTTTAATATATTATGTGGCCCAAAAAATTTGTTTTTTAATATTGGGCCAAAAATTTTATTTTTTTAATGTTGGGTCAAAATTTTTTGTAATAGGTTTAGGTAGATAATATTGGGGTCAAATTTTTTTGTTTTAAATAAGTTAAATTTTTTAATTTTTTTAGGTAAATTTTGTGGGCCTAATATAAATGAGAGGGACACACATATATATATATATTATATAAATATATAATACATATACTCTACTAATAAAAAAAAAAATATTTTGAGGGGGGGCACTTACCCACTCTGGCCCAGTTGTCCCTCCGCCCTCCGTAATCCCCTCTCTGTTCCGATTAAAATAGGAATAGAAAACTTTGAAAAATTCTTTCTTTCCATGATTATTAGGGCTTAAGCCTTAAGGGCTTTGAAAAATTAGGCTAATGATTAGTGATTTAGTGAGTTGGTACTAATAGCCTTGTATGAAAGTGATAATTTTTTATTTTTTTTTCACTTCAGTCCACCATAGTCCACTAATAGATCCGTGCATGGCAGCAATCTTGATCATGAACAAATCTATGAGCAGAAAAAGTAAATCATTAGCTGGCTTTATCAAACTATTACCCAAACTACAAATGTCCAAATTTGCTTTATGCAAAGAAAACAAACAATGGATGTTTATGTACACAATCAAGTTTTCAAAAAAATTGTGTACCTTATTCCCTTACATAATTTCGTGGCACATCTCGAATTTTTCTCAGCATTTTATAAATTTGGATGGAGTCAATAAATCATATCAGCTACAGCATTATGAAGAAGTAGCAAAATACATAAATGATAAATCTACCAACCAAGGCAGTGGATAGACCAAAATAATTAAACAGAAAATTTTAACATATCAAAATTCAGGAGAAGGGAATGCCAAGAGGTCCAATGGGTCCAAGACCAATGGATCAAAGAGGTCCGTCAGTGAATGGATCGAAGAAGTCGCGTCTGCAACCCACGAAATAGCTTGCCTCTTATCCATTCAATGGGCCTTCTGTTACTGTTAGATTTTCCTTAATGGGCTGTATGATTTGTGTCATAAAACCCCTCGAGGTTTACTGAGAATACAAAAATCCCATCGAAAACATCAGAAATTATAGAAAAACCCTCTCTGCCCTCACTCCCTCAAATCAATCACACCAGGACTCTCTTCTATTTCCTACGATGTTAATGACTTTTTTATATATATGATATATTGATATTTATGTCTTCCTTATTGTGTTTTATTGTAATTGATTATGTATTATCAAATTTATTGTATTTTTTTAGTGTTATTTGTTTATTGTGTTAGTTAATTAGTGAATGTTATTTAATTAAATTATTAAAATAATCTAAAAATTAATAACTAAAAAATATATGTTTACTTGATTTCTTACCCGACTTCCTACCTTATTGTTTTGGACAGAAGTCAGATAAGAATAATACACTTAATTAGGTAGGGTAAGCCAATGAAAATATTTTCTAAAAAATATTGAGTAGAAAGATAAAATATCATAATTCCTATGGTAGGATGAACACCTCGCAACAAGTTAGAAAAATCCAAATTGCCGCTGGTTTTATATTATTATTTTTCAATTGATTTACATATTTTCCAATTTTATTTAGACAGGTTTATCTCTACCTTCATTCCAATACAATATATTAAAAGCAATTCACAGCACAGGAATAGAGACGTGGACAAGAGAATATTATCATCGTCTACTCCCGTCCATGGCCAGTGGTGTACCATAGCACTCATGGCCAAATTAGAAAACAATATTAGCCAAAATCATGATTATTATGAGATAAGTCCAACTATAAACAAACAAATTGACACTCATCAACTATGATTTAGTGATTGGAAATTCCTTTTTCGTGGGTTTGCCATTTGATGTCAATACTAAAACCCACTACGAAAATGTCCAAATATATTTGAATCTTCACTTTGGACAGATTATAGTGTGATCTCTTCAAATATATGCATTTTCTCATATTGTACGTTTTGGCTATGTTATAGTTTCATATTGCTTAATTATAATTCAAAAGGCAAAGTAAAACTGAGTCCACACAGTTCTTCACTCCAGGGGCTTCTCTATCATAGTTCCCAACACAGACTTCAACTCTCCTAACCCTGAATTTGTCTTCATATCCTTATCGGAGCTTGGCAAAAATGGTGGAAAAACAGAGGCCAAATGAAAAGGTCACCTGCTGCATCATTCATGATTCTCTCATGTAATTTTCTGCAGCAGTGGCCAATCATCTCAAGATTCCAAGTATCATGTTACGCTGTAGCTGTGCTCTCAATTCGCAGGGTAAAACTACTATACAGTCGACCTATTTTTTAGTATTGTATCGAAAAGTGAGGTGGACCGTATATGTGACAAGTAGGTTTTTAAAATCGGTGAAACTGGTTGTTTTTAAAAAATAGTACCTAACCCAAAAGAGTTGTAATAGAATTGTATCTAGTCCAAAAGAGTTGTACCACATCCAATAGAGTTGTATCTTTTCCAATAAAGTTAGAACTCCTACCCAAAAAAGTTGAAACTCACCTCAAAAAAATTGGAACCTTTACCCAAAAAAGTTGGAACTCACCTCAAAAAAATTGGAACCCCTAGCAAAATAGTTGGAACCTCTATCGAAAATTTTTTTAATTCAATTTAAAAAAAGTTAAAACCTCAAGCAAAAATTGGAACCCAAAGAGTTGGAACCTCTACCCAAAATCAATCCTAAAAAATTATAACTCAATTAAAAAAATTGAAAGGTGAGCCAAAAATATAAACTAATGCATAAAAATTGAAACTCTATTCCAAAAAGTTAGAATTACCCCAAAACAATATAATTCAATCCTAAAAAATTAAACTTTATACCAAAAGCTTATAATTCAATCCAAAATAGTTGAAATCTGACCAAAACAGTTGTAATCTAACTAATTTGAGTCACTTCCAAAAAATTGGAACTCAATCCAAAAAAAGATATAACTCTGATCCAAATAGTTGGAAGCATTATTTACAATTCTTTTAATTATTTGATTTAATTCATTATTTATTTGTTAGCAATAAAAAAATGGGACTATTTAAAAAATATTGAATATTTTTGGACTACAGTAAATTTTTTTTGATTATTTAGGGGATAAAAATGTGATAGTTAAGAGATAAAAGGGATAAAAGTGTGATAGTTAAGGGATAAAAGTGTGATATTTACCCAGGATCGGTCTCTCATTTCTTGGACCGGTTCTAATTCTTCACATGTAAATTACACTTACACCCTACATATTACAATATATTATTTTTTTTTTATTTTTTAAGCGAATATTGTGGTGCACAAATCACAAAAACCTTATCTTCTCTCCCTATCCACTTTCCCGCCCAAGCCATTTTTCACTTCTCTTGCCTTCCCTCTATCTCTTTTCCCACCCAAACTATTTTTCACTTCTCTTACCTTCCCTCCATTTCTTTTACCATACATCCCTTCTCCCTTTCATCATACAAAAGTATTTGTTTGGTTTAGAATTTGGTGTTAATATGATGAATTGAATGATTATTTGATGAAATTGAATGTTTATTTGGTATAAATTTGATGAATTGAATATTAAATGTTATTAGATGAAATTGAATATTAATTTGTTGAATTGAATATTAATTTGGTATTTGATTTGATGAATTAAATGTTTATTGGATGAAATTGTATGTTACTTTGATGTTGGTTTGTTAAATTGAACCTTTATTGGATGATTTTTTATGCCAATTTGATAAATTGAGTGTTAATTTAATGAATTTGAATATAAATTAGACGAATTAAATGTTAATTTTGTGTAAATTTGATGAATTGAATATTAATTTGATGTGATTGAATATTAAGTTGATAAATTAAATGTTTATTAGATGAAATTGAATATTGATTTGAAAACTTGAATGTTAATTTGTTATTTATTTAAAAAAATAAATATTTATTGGATAAAATTGTATGTTACTTTGGTGTTAATTTGTTAAATTGAATCTTTATTAGAGGGTTTTTGATGTTAATTTTAGGAATTGAATGAATTTGAATATAAATTGGATGAGATTGAATGTTATGTTGATGAATTAAATGTTTATTACTTGAATTTTAATGTTAGTTTAATGAATTAAATGTTTATTAGGTAAAATTAAATGTTGATTTGAAGAATTAAATGTTCCAACGTTTAATTTTACCTAATAAACATTTAATTGATTACACTAATATTAAAATTTAACTAATAAAGATTTAATTCATCAACGTAACATTCATTTTCATCCAATTTATATATAAATTAACACTGAATTAACACAAAATATTACTTGAAGGTGAAATATAGGAAACAAGATAAAAATATTGTTATACTTTAGGGGTGTAAGTATAATTTACTTATGGATAAATTAAGACCGGTCGTTGGAATGAGTGACTGATCCTGATGTAATATTACACTTTAATCCTTTAATATTACACTTTTAACCTTTTGATATTATAATTCATCAAATTAACATCCAAAATCATTCAATAAATATTCAATTTATCAAATCAACAGCAAAGTAACATGCAATTGCATCCAATTAATACTCAATTCATCAAAGTTACACCAAATTAACATTTAATTTTTCAAATCAACATTTAATTTTACCTAATAAACATTTAATTCATTAAATTAACATTAAAATTCAACTAATAAACATTTAATTCATCAATGTAACCTTCAATCTCATCCAATTTATGTTCAAATTCATTCAATTCATAAAATTAACATTGAAAATCCTCCAAAAAAAGATTTAATTTAACAAATCAACACCAACGTAACATGCAATTTCATCCAATAAACATTATATAAATAACAAATTAACATTCAATTCTTCAAATCAACATTCAATTTCATCTAATAAAAATTTAATTCTTCAACTTAATATTCAATTCATAAAATTAACACAAAATTCACATTCAATTCATCGAATTTATATTCAAAATCATTAAATTAACACTTAATTTATCAAATTAGCCTCAAAAATCATCTAATAAAGGTTCAATTTAACAAATCAACATCAAAGTAACATACAATTTCATTCAATAAACATTTAATTCATCACATCAATACTAATTAAATATTTAATTTAACAAATTAACATTCAATTTCATCTAATAACATTTAATATTCAATTCATCAAATTTATACCAAATAAACATTCAATTCATCATTTTAACACCAAATTAAAATTCAATTCATCCAATTAATATTTAATTCAATAAATTAACATTCAATTCATCAAATTAAAAAAAATTATCTAATAAAGATTTAATTCACCAAATTAATATTCAATTCAACAAATTAACATTCAATTTCATCTAATAACATTTAATATTCAATTCATGAAATTTATACCAAATAAACATTCAATTCATTATATTAACACCAAATTATAATTCAATTCATTCAATTAATATTTAATTCATTAAATTAACATTGAATTCATTAAATTAAAATAAAAAATCATCTAATAAAGATTTAATTCATCAAATTAACACCAAATTAACATTCAATTTAACAAATTAACATTTCATTTCAAATAATAAACATTCAATTCATTAAATTAACTATTTAACATTTAATTCATCAAATTAACACCAAATTAACATTCAATTCTTCAAATCAACATCAAACTAACATTCAATTCATCAAATTAACACAAAATTAATATTCAAATAATTGAATTCGCATTCAATTCTATCTAATAAACATTTAATTAATCAAATTAACCTAACAATCAATTTAATCAACAAAATTTTAATTTGTCAAATTAACACTAAATTAACATTCAATTCATCCAAAATATATATTCAAATTCATCCAATTTACGCTGAATTCATCAAATTAACATCCAAAATCATCTAATAACAATTCAATTTATTAAACCAACACCAATGTAATATAAAAATTCATTGAATAAGTATGTAATTCATCAAATTAACACCAAATTAACATTCAGTTCAACAAATTAACTTTCCATTTTGTATAATAAACATTCAATTCATTAAATTAACATTTAAATTAACTATTTGAAATTAAATTCATCAAATTAAGATTCAATTTCATCCAATTAATATTCAATTCATCAAATTAACACCAAATTAATATTTAATTCTTCAAATTAACACTAAATTAACTTTCAATTCATCAAATTAACACAAAATTAATATTCAATTCATCAAATTCACATTCAATTCCATCTAATAAATAATTAATTCATCAAATTGACTTAAAATTCAATTTCATCAAAAAACAATATTCACTTTATCAAATTAATACTAAATTAACATTCAATTCATCCAATTTATATTCAAAATCATCCAATTAAAAATTAATTCATCAAATTAACATCCAAAATCATCTAATAAAATTCAATTTATCAAACCAACACCAATGTAATTTAGAAATTTATCAAATAAATATTTAATTCATCAAATCAACACCAAATTAACATTCAATTCAACAAATTAACATTTTGTTTCGTATAATAAGCATTCAATTCATTAAATTAACACCAAATTGACATTCAATTCATCAAATCAATATCAAATTAACATTCAATTCATCAAACTAACACCAAATTAATACAAATTGTATGAATTGAATATATATTTGGTATTGATTTCATCAATTGAACATAAATTTGGTGTTAATTTGACGAATGAATATGTAATGGATGAATTTAATGTTAATAGTTGAATTTAAATGTTAATTTTATTAATTGAATGTTTATTAGATGAAATGTAATGTCAATTTAGCGTTCAGTTAATGAATTAAATGCTTCTTTGATTAATTTTCATATTACTTTAGTGTTGATTTGATAAATTGAATTTTTATTGAATGATTTTGGTTGTTAATTTTGATAAATTGAGTGTTAATTGGATGAATTGAATGTTGATTTAGTGTTAATTTGATAAATTGAATATTAATTGGATGAATTAACTATTAATTTGGTATTAATTTGATGAATTAAATATTAATTAGATGAAATTGAATGTTATTTTAATGAATTGAATTGAATTTTATCCTCAAACAAGTTATATGTAGAGTAAAGGGATGGAAGGAAGGTAAGAAAAGTGATTTGGGCGGCAAAAGAAGGAAAAGGCAAGAATGACAAAAAAAGGCGGGAACGGGATCAAGTGCACGATGTTAGTGTTAGAGGAGCAATTATCTCCAACACCAAGAATGGGTTGTGGATCAAATCATGGCAGGTAATCTTGTTTACCACTCTTTTTCAATTTCTATGTTCATTGTTGTGGGTCTTTGACTTAAAGCATCCCAAGTATGTTAGGAATTCCAAAGACTACTGGGCAATAATATTTTTCTGGTTTCTTCTATATTTCTTGTTAGTTTTGTTTAGGACATGATGCAAAAATTTGATCTTTGATTGCATTTAAGTCTTTGTTAAAAAATTCGGCTAGATGGCTACTTAGACATAAATTTATTTAAAGTTTTTCAATTTGGATTGATCATTTGCCCATCTAGAGTGCTTGCAAGGCAGACCTATGAAGTTGTGGAGTAGTTTTTAATATTCATGAGGGAGCATGGATACCCAGAATTGAGGCCATTACTTTGTATTGGTGGTGTTGATATGCGGTCACAATTGGAAGTCGTGAAGAAAGGTGTTCATATTGTGGTTTCTACAACCTGGGAGGTTGAAGGACATGCTTGCCAAATGAAAAGACAGAAGGGGACTTGGGAGGCTCTTGGTGGGTTGTTGGAAAATCACAAAATCGATGATGCGGTGCTAGAAGGTAATATTTAATTGCATGAGCTGATGAATTTACGGATAGTTTGATGTGCTTTTTGAGTGTGTCTTCTTGCCCCTCCATGAATGAAACTGCTGATGATTTTACTTTCCAAAATTAAAAAGGATACATTTGATAAAAAGTAGCAAACACAGAATCAGAATGGTTCACTACTCATGAATGAAACTGCTGGTCATCTTTGTTAAACAACTCACAACAAGCAATATCACTATCTACTATGATCACAAATTTTCTTTTTTTACATTCAAACTCTTCAGGAAATCTCTAGTCTTCTTCGTTGCCATGAGTTTGATGTGAAGGTGAGACAAAAATTGTAACACCAACGTTATCCACATCTAACCATATAATCCACTAAATAATTTGATGAGTTAAATATTAATTTGGTGCTAATTTGATAAATGAATATTAGTTAGATTAATTGAGTGTTAATTGAATGAAATTGAATATAAATTGGATGAATTGAATGGTAATTTGTTGAATTTGAATATTAATTTGATGAATTAAATGTTTATTAGATGAACTTGAATTTGATTTGAAGAGTTCAACCAATTCTCATTGGCACCCCTCATCTAATTTTCTCAAGAATCAAATCAAAACCAAGCTTGAAACATTGATATATACAAGATAATACAAAAGATGAAGGGAGATAGAAAGAGAGAAATATTATGTACCTGATGACCGACATATTTAGCTATTTGGAGGCATTCCTGATAGAGCTAAAACACCATTATATGAATTAATAAAAACAATAGGACATAATCATAGTAACTTAAATTATACTCAGTTCAAAGATTTGAATAACAAAACCCAAGTACATTTCGCATTACGATTAATGTATGCACATAATTGCAAAATTATTTCCTCAAAATAAAAATAAAAAAGGAAAAAGAATGAATGACACTAACTCAAAATGACATTGTTGGCAAGTTCAGGTGGTAGCGCTATTTGTTGAGACGACGTTATTAGAAAAACCCTAATAACAAATCAACTGAATTCAAAGCAAATAAGTAATGAAGTTCCTGAATAATGGCTCAATCGTTCAACCAAATGAAGAATGCAAAGAATCACAAGGTAAGAAGCAAAAAAAAAATCATTAGAATCAATAAGATCATTAGAATAAAAAATAAGATCAAGACAAATAGTTTAGCATTTAGATTAAAAATAATCTTTCACTAGTAAAAAAATCAGGAGGTTGTTGGGCGAGATGACTTAATATTTTCAGCTTCAGCTTCATGTTCCTTCTTCACCCTAAACATGAAATAAACCATTAACCACAAAAATGGCTTCACTATATAAATTACGCTATTAACTAAAAAAAACGTTCACTTACATTATATCTGAACGAGCCAAGAATTGGATCACTAATGGAGGATTATCAAAGACAATGTTCACCCAAAAAAAAAATAATGGAGTTTCACAGTACCAGACTCAACAAAACCTAAACCAAACAAACAAATACTTTTTGTACGGTGAAATAGATGGAGGGAAGGCAAGAGCAATAACAGTCGTTTAGGCGAGAAAGTGGGTGGAGGGAGAGATAAAGTTTTTGTGATTTGTGGATCACAATATTGGCTTAGAAAATAAAAAAAATAATATATTGTAATATGTGGGGTGTAAGTGTAATTTACAATGTGAAGAATTAGGACCGCTCCAAGAAATGGGAGACCGATCATGGGTAAATATCACACTTTTATCCCTATTATCCCTTAACTATCACACTTTTATCCCTTAACTATCACATTTTTATCCCTTAAATAATCAAAAAAATCCCCAAAAATATTCAATTTTTTATAAATAGTCCCATCTTTTATTAACAACAAATAAATAATGAATAAAATCAAAAAATTAAAAGAATTATAAATAATGCTTCCAACTATTTGGGTCAAGTTACAATATTTTTGAATTGGGTTCCAATTTTTTGGGTGACTCTGATTCGCTGGATGAAAAAAATCTTAGTCCAAAAATATTCAATATTTTTTAAATAGTCCCATTTTTTATTAACAACAAATAAATAATGAATAAAATCAAATAAATAAAAGAATTGTAAATAATGCTTTTAACTATTTGGTCTGATTATAACTTTTTTTGGATTGGGTTTCAATTTTTTGGGTGAGTCGGATTAGCTAGATCAAAAAAATGTCCAAAAATATTCAATATTTTATAAATATTCCCATTTTTTATTAACAACAAATAAATAATGAATAAAATCAAAAAATTAAAACAACTGCAAATAAAAGAATTGTAAATTATGCTTCCAACTAGGTTATAACTTTTTTTGGATTGGATTTCAATTTTTTGGGTGACTCTAATTAACTAGATCAAAAAAATCCTAGTCCAAAAATATTCAATATTTTATAAATAGTCCCATTTTTTATTAACAAAAAATAAATAATGAATAAAGTCAAACAATTAAAATAATTGTAAATAATGTTTCCAACTATTTGGGTCAGGGTTATAACATTTTTGGATTGGGTTCCAATTTTTTTTCATAGAGGTTCCAACTATTGAGGGTGGGTCCCAACTTTTTTGAGGTTCCAACTTTTGGGGTGGGTTCAAAAAATTGGGGAGGGTTCCAACTTTTTTGGGTAGGGTTTTAACTTTTTTAGATAAAGGTTACAACTCGGTAGGGGTTCTAACTTTTTTGGGTAAGGTTCCAACTTTTTTGGTTAGGGGTTTCAACTTTTTTGGGTAGGGGTTCCAACTTTTTGGCTAGAGGTTCCAAATCTTGAGGAGAGGGTTCCAACTTTTTTTGAGGTTCCAACTCTCTTCGGGCGGGTTCTAACAATTGGGGTGGGTTCTAAAAATTGGGGGAGGGTTTCAAATTTTTTGGGTCGGGGTTCCAAATTTTTTGGGTAGAGGTTCCAACTCTTTTGGATAGGGGTTCCAACTTTTTTGGGTAGAGGTTCCAACTCTTCGGACAATGTTCCAACTTTTTGGGTAGAGTTTCCAACTTTTTTGGGGTGGGTTCCAACTTTTGTGATTAGGAGTTCTAACTTTTTTGGGTAGGAGTTCTAACTTTTTTTGGTAGATGTTCCAACTCTTGAGGTTAGCGTTCCATCTTTTTGGGTTGAGGTTCCAACTCTTATGGGGAGAATTTCAACTTTTTTGGAGAGGTTTCAACTTTATGGGTGAGTTTTAACTTTTGTGATTAGGAGTTCTAATTTTTTGGGTAGGGGTTCTAACTTTTTTGAGTAGAGGCTCCAACTCTTGAGGGTGGAGGTTCCAATTTTTTTGGGATGAGTTTCAACTTTTTTTGTTAGGGGTTTCAACTTTTTAGGTAGAGGTTCCAACTCTTGGGGGCAGGGGTTCCAACTTTTTTGGGTATAGGTTCTAACTTTTTTTGAATGGGTTCAAACCATTGGTGGGTTTTAACAGTTGGGGGAGGGTTCCAACTTATTTGAGTAGAAATTTCAACTCTTGAGGGTAGGGATTCCAACTTTTTGGACAGGGTTCCAACATTTTGGGGTGGGTTCCAACTTTTTTGGTTAGGGTTTCTAACTTTTTTGGAAGGGGTTCCAACTTTTTTGGATAGAGGTTTCAACTCTTGGGTAAATGTTCCAACTTTTTGGGTTGAGGTTCCACCTCTTGTGGGGAGAGTTCCAACTTTTTTGGAGAGGTTCCAACTCTATTGCTCCGTTTGGTATGATGAAAAAGTGGGAGGATGAAAAGTTGGAAGGATGAAAAGTTGGAGGGATAAATAAAACATCATGTTTTGTAAGGAATGAAAGTAGGAAGAATGGAAAAATGGATGAATTAACTTTATTTCCAACTCACCAAAATCAATCCCTCCAAAATCAGAAGGAAAATAGATGAAAAGTTAATTATTTGTGTTGAGATGTATCTTATTTGTCTATATATCTTATATATACATTAATTTTATATAAAAATGCAATGATAAAATATGTATATATATGGAGCTGGACAAAGTTCTACGGTTAGAGGAAATGTATTGGAGGCAAAAAGCAAATGTGAAATGGGCTCTCGAAGGAGAAAGGAACACCAAATTGTACCATGCCATCGCAAGAGGCAAAGTAGCAAAAAACAGAATTTCAAGAATTAAAAATGATGAAGGGAACTGGTTAGAGGAGGAAGATGAAATCACTAGCAGTGCAGTGGACTTCTTTTTTGCACTTTATAAATCGGAGGCTCACATAATGGACCCTGCGTTATTTGATCACAAACCTAATTTGGTCACTTTGAAAGAAAACCTAAGCTCACCTCCCCGGCTACCATGGAAGAACTCAAGTCTGTCATCTTTGGAATGTCTACTCAAAGTGCACCGGGTGCTGATGGTTTCTCAGGTAAGTTCTTTTAGATTGCTTGGGAAGTCATTAAGTGTGACATTTTGGATGCTGCTAATTTTTTCTTGCAAGGCGAAGTGATACCACGATTAGTTAATGCCACTATTTTGTCTTTGATACCCAAAAAAGATATTCCATTGACATGTGGTGATTTTAGGCCCATTAGTCTTTGTAGTTTTTTATGCAAAATCTTCACAAAGTTGTTAGCAACTAGACTTAGTGGCTTGCTGCCTAAGCTTATCTCAAAGGAGCAACATGGTTTCATCCAAGGCAGAACTATGAGTGATAGTATTTCCCTAGCCCAGTTTATGATGAATGAACTAGATAGAAAGGTGGAGGCTAGGAATGCTATTGTTAAGCTGGACATGATGAAGGCATTTGATAGACTAGAGTGGGATTTTTTAAAACAAACATTGAAGAGTTTTGGATTTTCTGAAGACTTTGTTGCCATTGTTTCTAATTGTCTAAGTCATCAGAATATTTCTTTGATAATAAATGGTGTTCGGCATGGCTTCTTTCCTAGTTCGAGAGGATTGAGACAAGGGGATCCATTATCACCTTCTCTTTTTATCTTAGCAAAGGAGGTGTTGAGCAGAGGTTTGAGGTTCCAATTCGAGCAAGGATTAATAGAAAGATATCACACAGGTAGGGGTTCAAGGCTCTTAAGTCATCTACTGTTTGCGGATGATACTCTCATTTTTTTGAAGGGGCGCAAGAGGTCCATGGCTAATCTGTTGAAATTCGTGGGGAGGTATGAGCAATCATCTGGTCAGAAAGTGAACAAGAAGAAGAGTTCACTCTATTGATCTTCTAATATCTCAGTTGCAAGGAGAAATATGTTATCATAGGTTGCAAACATCCCTCTTAAGCAATCACCACTTACCTACTTGGGTTGTCCAATTATTAGGGGGAGAGTCAAGCTCCTCTATTTTGAAGATATATTGCAGAAATTTCAATCACGGTTGGA